ATTGATTTCTCAATTACTTTCATTGATCACTCTGTCATTATCATGGATATTCCTGATAAAAAATTGATGTAAAATTTACTCAATTCAGTTCTGTTGCCTTTTCTTAATGACAGGAATTAATTGATTTTTTTCATCAATAAATATTCTATCAAATGATAAATTTTTGAGGGTAAATCCCCCACAAAAAAGAATGATTTTATGGTAAGTTGATATAACTTGTAGCACAACTGATGAAAATAAACAAACATAATTAAGACCAGAACACAACTACAATGTTAACAAAAACAAGTTTGTGTGACAGACATAACAATATAACAAAGGAGTAGCAATGGACCCCGTATCACTCATACCACACAAGCACTGTGTTTGTAATCCTTTTTCTGAAACTGAGACTCAGTTTTCAGCTGTGTTGTTAAATTCTATCTGGAGATATATTAACTAACTCTGGGTTAATGTTACTAAACTAAACTTTGATCACTGTTACTATATAAACAAAATCTGGATCATGGTTACTAAACTAAACTTCGATCACTGTTACTATATAAACAAAATCTGGATCATGGTTACTAAACTAAACTTCGATCACTGTTACTATATAAACAAAATCTGGATCATGGTTACTAAACTAAACTTCGATCACTGTTACTATATAAACAAAATCTGGATCATGGTTACTAAACTAAACTTCGATCACTGTTACTTTAATTTGGAACAATGTTTCTAATTAAATGTGGATGAATGTTATTAAATTGAACCTTGAGCTATTTTATGAACTGAAAAGTGGAGTTAGTTTTTTAATTAGTTCCTAAACTACTCCACTAAATAAAACAAAATCTAAACAAGGTTTCCAATCTTGACCTTTTTCTGTAATCATCATCATCATCATCAATCATCATCATCATCATCATCATCATCCATACAAACATTTCTAAATAAGAAGCAGGTCCTGAGTCAGAATCTCATTGTATAAAAAATCTGTACACCAATAACAGGTCTGATATTCTCTTTCATATCTGTCTATCTTTAATCTCTTTCTAAATTAAATCTCACCAATTCAATAACAGAACACCTAAATTGAGCAGTACTCAACACTTATTGCCCTTAGATTTCCAAAAACTGCCATCAATTTCATGAAAACATGTTCACAACAGTTGTAAAAAGTTAGGATGGACTGAAAAAACACTCTTCAATCTAACCTCCTAATATAGCAAAAGTGTATTTCTTATTATTAACATATTCAGGAATGAGCTGGACTTTAATTTCATCTGATGAATTACCTCCCTTTACTTGAGTCCAAAGTGTATTTGATGAACTACCTCCCTTTAATCAATTCTGAATGATAATCAGGATTACCTCCCCTTATCAGTTGAATGTGTATACATTCATCAATAAAGGATTGACAGGGGAGAATATCATTATTTTCTTAATTGACGATAATGTTAAAATGACAATATAAAAACTTACCTAATAAAAAAGCATTGATCTTGAATTCATGTCTTCATCCTTACTACTAACCTCTAACCCAAGCCCTGGTGGCCGGATTTATTTTTGAAACAGTATTACAACTTTATACTTTACAATATGTGTATCATGGAGAGCATTTCATTGTGATCTCAACTTAATTGGAACAACTAAAATAGCCATGATACTACCATATCAAAAAAGTCATAGAATTATTTCTGGAATACAGCTGTAAAATTTCATTTCCAATAATTGAATACCATATTAGAGGTTTTCCTAATGTGTTCAACTAAAGACAACCAATATTACAACATTTAGTTAGTAAATCATGCTACTGGACGTATTTTCTTGATAAGTATGGTTGCACCAATACTGTATAAATATCTCATAATTTAAAATAGCAAATTGTTTAAACAGTGAACTTAAGGGGTTCCACACCTGCCCTTGTACACATTTCTATATACATTTTACCATTAAAATTTGGCCTCTAACCATTCAGTGGAGAGTGCTGGAATGACAGAACAGCTGCATAATGTGGTTTTCCTGATTCATTTGGCATAAAGTTACATAAATCATTTTTTATTAACTGAGTGCTAGATATACGTGTGTTTTTGTACAATAAGTACATTACATATGTATGTTAATTAAAAGTGAATGATGTCTTTTTGTGTATAAAAATAGTGAGATCACTATTACAGAGTAAGATATTGTAAAATATAGAAAATAAAGATATCACACAAAATAACCAATATATTATAATACATCAAATTTTGACCTGGTGACCATTGGTTGATATGTACTGTATAAGTCAATATATTTTATATAGTATTACTATATATAGATGTACACAGGTCAACATTGGTGATACTATATATAAATGTACACAGGTCAACATTGGTGTTACTATATATAAATGTACACAGGTCAACATTGGTGTTACTATATATAGATGTACACAGGTCAACATTGGTGTTACTATATATAAATGCACACAGGTCAACATTGATGTTACTATATATAAATTTACACAGGTCAACATTGGTGTTACTATATATAGATGTACACAGGTCAACATTGATGTTACTGTATATAAATGTTCACAGGTCAAAGTTGTTGTTGCTATATATAGATATACACGGACAAACATCAGTGTTACTATATATAGATATATACAGATATACACAGATAAACATCAGTGTTACTATATATAGATATACACAGGTAAACATCAGTTTTACTATATATAGATATACACAGGTAAACATCAGTGTTTCTATATACAGATATACACAGATAAACATCAGTGTTACTATATATAGATGTACAAAGATAAACATCAGTGTTACTATATATAGATATACACAGGTAAACATCAGTTTTACTATATATAGATATCCAAAGATAAACATCAGTGTTACTATATATAGATATACACTGGTAAACATCAGTGTTTGTATATATAGGTATACACAGATAAACATCAGTGTTACTATATATAGATATACACAGGTAAACATCAGTTTTACTATATATAGATATACACAGGTAAACATCAGTGTTTCTATATACAGATATACACAGACAAACATCAGTGTTACTATATATAGATATCCAAAGATAAACATCAGTGTTTCTATATATAGATATACACAGGTAAACATCAGTGTTTCTATATATAGATATACACAGGTAAACATCAGTGTTTCTATATATAGATATACACAGGTAAACATCAGTGTTTCTATATATAGATATACACAGGTAAACATCAGTGTTTCTATATATAGATATACACAGGTAAACATCACAGCGGCCTTGGAATGTTTAACAATATGAAGTTTTTATTACAATGTTACTTATTAAATTGATTATGAAATTAAATGGAATATAACTGAGCGAGAAGGACATATTTATATACAAAGACTTATAAAACACCTTTAATATTCCTCTGATCTTCTGTACAACATACCACAACATATCAAATATTCAGACACAATTCATCCATTATCATCAATATTTCATTTCTTGGTACATATTTTCAATACCTACATGAACACCAACCTGGGAACTCATGAACATGATTTAAATATTTTACCACAATAAATAGGGGAGGTATTATTTTAATGAACAAATTTACATGAATATATTGTAAATAAATTGAGGACAAAAATATATATTTGAACATTATTGCTATAGTATTAGTTATATCACAACCATATTAATATACGTCACAATGAAAAAGTCTCTTAAAAACTTTGGATTATCTCCCTTGATTTGTTCTATGTCAAGTACCAACCAAGAAAATAAAACAGTGAAGTCTGGACACAGTTGTGATAAAGAAATTGCCTGGCAGTGTAAGGTAAACGATAAAATCTTCTCATCAACAACACCACTTTTTATAGCCTGTTTCACAAAAGACATCAATAAAATACATGAAGATTATCATCTGTACCGTTAAAACAAATATCACACATTCTTATCTTTGGTTTTAATCTGATAAAATTTTACTCATCAAAATGAATCATAATAATTTGCATACTGGAATGATTCAGCACAACTCCATAATAAAGGAAGGAATCAGACCAATATGGCGCACGCTCCTTCGCAATTAAAATCAGAAAGTGCAAGGTAATTACTACTATGGGAAATATATGCCAGAACTAAGGGTAAACTAAGCACCAAATCAAGGTCTTAGACATGGTTCACTGGATACTGGCAAACACTCATCCCATGTTTATTGCTATTTTCCAGGAAGAATTAAACTAAAAATAGATAAATTGTACATTGAAAATGGAGATGAGTAAAGAAACCTATCGTATATATCAAGGCTTACACACACACAATAAATGTTTTGTATCAGGCTTTTAATAAAATCACAAAAATTCAAACCATTAAAAAAAAAAACATATTACAGTATCTTAAATTTAAACTTCAAAATTCAATTCAAATTTTGCACTATTGGCAGGAGGAAGTTTACTTAACAATGAACAGCCATGAATACCTCTTTTCTGTATATTCTCAAAATGTAAGAGGGAAAAAAGAAATAATGAAAAACCAGAAATTGATTTCCAAATCTATAAGAAGGAGATATTTTTAGATTTCCAGTACCTAGCAGATTTGTGCTATCTGTTGACCAGTACAACCTCATTATCTCAAACTTGTATCACTCTAAGACCCTGTTTAACTGGGAGCATTTTGTTGGTCCCTTCATATCTTTGCACAAAACATTTGAACTCACTTAAATTGAATACTTGGTTATCTCGAAGTTGTCCGGTGGTACCACCGAGCTCAAGATAACAAGGTTTGACTGTACAGTGTTAGTATGAAGCAAAGTCTATATTTGCGGCTGTGCTTATCACCAGATAATATGGTTCATTTCTTTTTACACCAGGAAATTGTGTATATTAATATTTTCAAATCTAGAAACTTTGGCATACACAAAATACAATTATAACAACAACTGACCACAGTGAAAACTTGGTCTCTATGAGGGCCTATGTTTATGAATAAAACTCCGCGAATTCATGTTCAATAGACACTCATGTTTCTGGAATTCTTCCAGTTTTCTTAAGCCGTGAACGGAAATCAAAATGCTTTGGTTCATTGACAGCTGTGGAAGCTTTAAATATATCATCTTGGGATAAATCAATGTTAGTTTTACGCAGCCTCATTCTGAAATTGGATGGTTGATCTTTGTTTTCGATGCTCCCATCGACGTTCCCATTGACGTGTCCATTGGTACTTGACTGTGGTATGATTGACGGTGTCCTGGGAAATAAGGAGATGAAAATGATGAAGTTCTCATTTCACACGATATTTAAAAAAAAATTTTTTTATCTTATCAAGCCACAGTATTTGAGTACTGAAAAATTCTTTATTTAGATAAAATAATGTTTCTCCTAAACATTAAAATAATTTGTTTTTCATCATCGACTCTATACTTATTCAACAATAAAGGAACCTCTCCTCCGAGGTAGAGTGGGAAGCATTGTGAGACCCTACCTCCATCCTCCGAGGTGGAGTGGGGAGCATTGTGAGACCCTACCTCCATCCTCCGAGGTGGAGTGGGGAGCATTGTGAGACCCTACCTCCATCCTCCGAGGTGGAGTGGGGAGCATTGTGAGACCCTACCTCCATCCTCCGAGGTGGAGTGGGGAGCATTGTGAGACCCTACCTCCATCCTCCGAGGTGGAGTGGGGAGCATTGTGAGACCCTACCTCCATCGTCCGAGGTAGAGTGGGGAGCATTGTGAGACCCTACCTCCATCGTCCGAGGTGGAGTGGGGAGCATTGTGAGACCCTACCTCCAACATGGAATGAAATGTAATGGACTTGTCTCCTTGTCTTATGTCCTCTTACAAAAAACTCATTCCCTCATGTTGACATATTGGCCTTATGTCTATAAAAAAACCCTATCCTCTGAGATAGAGGAGGAAGCATTGTATTAGCCCAATGGCCTTATTGCACTGTAAACAACCCTTCCCCTGACATGGAATAAGGAGTAATGCATTGCTACCCATGACTTATTGTTCCGTAATATATTTCTTGCATTAACTTCCTTGGATTATTGTTAGTTTAATGCAGTATATAACAACAGCCATGTGTTTTTAACTTTGATTAGACTTGGCAATTTCTGAGTCAACGGTTTGAAGATGCTTAGTTTACCACGGACGTCCTCACTGGACTGAACACCAAGGTAAGTGAAGCACTTCATCATGAAAACAAATTATTTCAAGGTCCTTAAAAGTTTGGAACTATTCAACGCTTGCTTTTCATTAGGCTTTATCATGGTCACACAGCATTAACAGGAACAGTGTTTAAACCAATTCTTTTCTATGAAGCTTGTGTGGGGTTAGATTTCACAATTAATAAACTTACAATGCAAATTTGACTTTGCTAGCAGTCGGTGGAGACACATCATTTTCATTGCCGTTGACATCGACCTTTGCAGGTGTAGGTTTGGAGATTACTGGAGATGGTGACTTTCTGGGAGGTGTGGGAGGAGGTGGCGATGAGGGCGGGGGAGGAATCGTCAGTACAGGGGCTGCCATCCTATTCCGAGGTATACTTGGCGGTGGGTGGGAAGGAGGGGGAGGGGGTTGAGAGGGTTTGTCATCTTCATTGGTGCCAGTCTCGAAGGGTTTGCGCTGTCGTTGTTGCCATAGAGAAACTACACTTCCTGTACATTCATCTTCCAATCGCTTTGCTAGTTCTTGTTTACTAGATTCTGACTGGAGTTCGTCATGGACGGGAGCTGGATCTTCTTCAATGTAGTTATGGCCATTTGTAAGAGGAATTGAGGTATCACCACTGTTAGGGGATAAAATAAAACAGACTATAGAACCATTGTCAGAGAATAACATGAAACAGACTATAGAATCATTGTCAGAGAATAACATGAAACAGACTATAGAATCATTGTCAGAGGATAACATGAACCAGACTATAGAACCAATGTTAAGGAATAAAATGAAAAAGACTATAGTACAGAAAACGAATCGGATGCACCTGTACTAAGACGGATGTTAAGCATGGTGACTGAAACAATGAAAACTTATTTTTGACAGACATTTTAGTATTACAAGTTACCCTGTCTCAATTTTTTCTCAATAACATTCTCCAGAAATTTTACTAAAATTGCCTTTTTTTTGAAATTGGAAATCTGTTCAAATTTTGATAAATAGTTTGAAGTAATTACTGAGGGTTTGTTTTAACATAGAAAAATTCATCTTGATATTTCTAATGACCTTAAATTTAAAAAAAATCTTGACATTTAAGTACCTTCATATACTTCTGATCATTGAGAAAACAAACTAACTGTGAAAGATATCTAAAAATAAGTCATTAAAAAAAATGAGAACTTCAGCTGTTGAATTATTTTCTCCAAACTTTAATTGAAATATCTAACTCTTGAAACATGAATCATGGAGTGTGCATTAAATTAATTTCAAACAAATCAGAGCTTCAAACGTTTTTGTTGCTGGAAACCTAAGCTATTTCTTTAAAGTGGAATTTAAGAGTCAGTCTCTTCTAGATTTCATTGAATTTCATACTGAAACATCTTTTTTTGGCGACTAACTTTGCACATTTTTTAAATGATCGAATAATGATTAAAAAATCTATAACCAACACAACAAATAAATAGTGATAACTTTTAACACCGAAGAACTTGAAATGTTTGGAATGAAATATGATTGCTACTTTAGATGAAATAAAGCTGTTTTGACAGGTTAGATAAGATGGAGCAAATGAACCGTGAAAAATAACTTCATGTTGAGGAGAAAATAAACCGAAAACAGAATTTGTTTAAAATTTAGTGTTTAAATTGGTGTTATTATTGAAGTAGTAAACTCTGATTAAAAGGTTTAAGATCATCTACACAAAATTCTACCAGCTTTCCACTTCTAATTTCAGCAATCTTTTCTACAGAGGGCAAGTGATAGAATATAACAGATTTTATCACTAAGTGTTTAAATTAATGATATTTACAGCAAGTGTTAATAAGAATGTTACAAGTGTTCAAATGACCAAGACTTAGTGCAAAGTGTTTTGATGATTCAGACATCTACAACAATGTTACAAGAAAATGGGAACCATTACAAGTGTTCAAATGACCAAGACTTAGTGCAAAGTGTTTTGATGAATCAGACATCTACAACAATGTTATAAGAAATGAGAACTGTTACAAGTGTGTAAATGAGTAAGGAATTAAAGATATAAGATATGTCAAAAGAAATTATACATATTGCAGAAAGATTCTGTAATATCTTAGAATATTGCAACTCAATTGTAAAATTTTGAAAGGAGCTTGATTTATGTCATTTTTTTTGTATTTTAGAAATATTCTTGTAACTTGACTACTGGAGCAAATTTTTATTATATAACCCAGATTGATCTGACTATGGAGAGAAATTGACATAAATTATAGCATTTTCTCAAAAAATACAACATAATCAAACAAATAGATATTTTTTCTGTTAAAAATAATACGACATGACTAAATAGTATAATAAAATATCACATTTTCATACATTAAAATAAAAAAAGTCATGCAGTAGAGATATCATTTTGATAAATATCACACAACAAATAAGCAAACAGTGGCATAAATGATAATTCAAATTAACAAATTTGCCACATTTTCATGTTTTTTTCTCTCCTTCCTTGAAAACGTTTTTAGAGAAAAACAGAGAAGGAGGATGGAATATAAAATGAAAAAGGAAAAAGAAGAAAAAATAATGATACAAAAAAAAAAAAAAAAAAATATTTGCACCCTCAAAAAATAAATTTTGACAGATATTTTACGATACAAATCCTGTAAAGAAAATGTTTTGAAGTTCTCAATGACAATGCTCATGATATCTGCAACATTTTAAAAAATTCATCGTTTTGCCATAAGTGAATAAAAGAAGACAGTACTTCAAGAAATATTAGAAATGTTGTTAACCCATTAGTAAAAGTACATCAGCAATCCTTCAGCCAATATATAGTACTTTAGACTTGTAAATCTCCACGGAGTCTTTGATATCAAGCTAGGGTTTTATGTACCATTCTGATCCTGTAACACGCCACATCCAGTCAGGGGGTGGGCTTATTACAGGACAATTATTTAGAAATTGTTGGCTTTTTAGTGAATTGCAACAAAAATTGAATATCATATTACAAAGCAATGACTAATTGCCAAATAAGTAAAAAATTATGTTTACTTGCAGTGTGCTTCAGAACGTTTATACATTAATGATACATTGCTATGGTAATATTTTTTAAATTATTTTTTTTTCAGGATACAAATTTGAACTCGATAAAAAATTGCAATTTTCAAACTATCAAATCAAATTGAAGCATATCCTTAGTCTGAGACTAACACTATTAGAGGTCTGGCTGAAAGGTTAATTATGATAAAAAGATAAAGGTCATGCCATTCTCCACAAACACAAACCACCACCGCCATCACCAATCTACGCCACACAACTATACAAGCAAAGCTGAAAAACTACTCATCAACAAGCTTAAGCACTGTGTCACAACACTGACTTGTTCAAAATAGCTTCTGCAATGGATCGGGCCAATTTTGCTCTCTCAGAGTCCGAATTGTCTTTGGCCTCGGAGCTGTCCTCACGTTTGACGGAACTGTTTGTTTTGTTTTCTTTACTGCATCAATAATCAATCAATGGATATTTCTTTTTTAATGGAAATTGTAATCAGGAAATTAAAAGAAAAAAGCAAACATCAAGGCGACATCTAAACAAATATAAACTGATAAAAACCTTAAATCTATCAATTTTGACCATTAAATTTGATGTAAGAAGAGAAATTCTGCTGTCCAAGTCACATAATTTTCCCGGAGTCAATTGCGAATTCAAATCTGTCACGATTATTTGCACGAAAATAAAATGGCATCCATGTTGATCTTGTTAACAATATCAGAGTTTTGAAATGTTTATGTTTCCAATAGCTCATCGTTCAAGAATTTAAAGTCATTTCTAGATCAGTGTCCATGAAATCATGTATTTGCTAATATGCCTAAAGAGGTATTTATGTCCATGAAATAAAGTATAAGCAAAATTGAAGTGAATTACAGTACAATACATATCTTTTTGATAAGAAATGAAGATGCTGGAGTGATATTGAATTTTGGAGATTGAACTGGACAGGATTGGGATGGGTACCATTATAAGCTTACACTCTACCCTCCCTTTTAAACCCCATCCCACCCAACCAAACCTCTCACATCAATTTACAGCAAGTGAAACTCTCGGAAATAGTTTGACTGAGCATCATCAAATCTTTAAAATAGAAAATTCAGAATTCTCAACATTTCACCATTTATCATGCAGCTGTTAGCCGGCTGTCCCTAATTCTGATTAGTTGAACATTTTCTGTTCATACAAAAAAGCAAAAAACTACATTTTTATGTACACAAGGGGAGGTAACTACTACTTTCTTGATATAGGACACAAAAGCCAAGGGAAGAGCACTATATATATATATAGGGGAAATAACTATTACACAAAGGGAAGGTAACTGCTACTTTCTATATATAAAAACAGGAGGGAAATATCAATGGAAGAACATGATATATACAGGGGAGAAAACATTACATAAGGGGAGGTAACTTACACATATTTTGTCACAGCGAGGGGAGATAACTCAATGGGTAATGGAGACAATCAAAATTGCAAGGGCGATACCACAGTAGATAAGGGAGATTATTAACAATGGAGGTTATCCAATTGTGGGCAAAGAGTCACTGATTCAGCAACACAGTATACTTACATGAGTGACAGAGCGTTATGTTTAGCTTGAAGGAGAGGGACGTCCCAGTCTACGATTTGGTCCGAGGGCACGTGATAGGTGGAGTCAGAGGGAGGGGCCAATCTGAACAAAATCAGCATAAGAACACTAGCCACCTCAAAACAAGGCTCAATCAAATTCTCCATTGCTTTGCAAATCAACCAGAGGTGGAGAAAAGCATAGCCAGAGTTGTGAATATAAGCTTAAAACTATGAATTATGCAAAAATAAGTTTTTTTTTAATATTATGATATATTAATACATGGTAAAAGTTTGTCATTATTAAGATTAGTTAACCCCCTGATAAATGATAAATAGCATGTTAATTACGTACATTAAAAAATCTGCTGGAATATTATAAAACATACCTACATTTTCTTGATAAGTGATTCCCCCCACCCCCTGACATCATCTTTACATAACAAAAATGGAAAAAAAAATTCAATATGATAAATGTATCCACATCAAATGCATATTAGAAATGTAAAATAAATTGGTATGGCTACCAGAAAAAAACATTATTAAAAAGTCAATTAAAAAAATTTTTAAGAAAACCTGAAGGAGAAAAGCACCACACTTTGAAGCATAAAATAATCAGAAATAAAAAAATTACAAGGAGTGGTAGCTGGTCCTATGTTATTATCAGAAACATAATCAAGGCATTTTACAGGGAGACGTGCCTGACCCTATGTTATTATCAGAAACATAATCAAGGCATTTTACAGGGAGAGGTACCTGACCCTATGTTATCATCAGAAACATACATGAGGCATTTTACAGGGAGAGGTACCTGACCCTATGTTATCATCAGAAACATAATCAAGGCATTTTACAGGGAGAGGTACCTGACCCTATGTTATCATCAGAAACATACATGAGGCATTTTACAGGGAGACGTACCTGACCCTATGTTATTATCAGAAACATAATCAAGGCATTTTACAGGGAGATGTACCTGACCCTATGTTATCATCAGAAACATAATCAAGGCATTTTACAGGGAGAGGTACCTGACCCTATGTTATTATCAGAAACATAATCAAGGCATTTTACAGGGAGACGTACCTGACCCTATATTATCATCAGAAACATAATCAAGGCATTTTACAGGGAGAGGTACCTGACCCTATGTTATTATCAGTAACATAATCAAGGCATTTTACAGGGAGAGGTACCTGACCCTATGTTATTATCAGTAACATAATCAAGGCATTTTACAGGGAGAGGTACCTGACCCTATGTTATCATCAGAAACATAATCAAGACATTTTACAGGGAGACGTACCTGACCATATGTTATCATCAGAAACATACATGAGGCATTTTACAGGGAGAGGTACCTGACCCTATGTTATCATCAGAAACATAATCAAGGCATTTTACAGGGAGAGGTACCTGACCCTATGTTATCATCAGAAACATAATCAAGGCATTTTACAGGGAGAGGTACCTGACCCTATGTTATCATCAGAAACATACATGAGGCATTTTACAGGGAGAGGTACCTGACCCTATGTTATCATCAGAAACATAATCAAGGCATTTTACAGGGAGACGTACCTGACCCTATGTTATCATCAGAAACATAATCAAGGCATTTTACAGGGAGACGTACCTGACCCTATGTTATCATCAGAAACATAATCAAGGCATTTTACAGGGAGAGGTACCTGACCCTATGTTATCATCAGAAACATAATCAAGGCATTTTACAGGGAGAGGTACCTGACCCTATGTTATCATCAGAAACATAATCGAGGCATTTTACAGGGAGAGGTACCTGACCCTATGTTATCATCAGAAACATACATGAGGCATTTTACAGGGAGACGTACCTGACCCTATGTTATCATCAGAAACATACATGAGGCATTTTACAGGGAGAGGTACCTGACCCTATGTTATCATCAGAAACATAATCAAGGCATTTTACAGGGAGAGGTACCTGACCCTATGTTATCATCAGAAACATAATCAAGGCATTTTACAGGGAGAGGTACCTGACCCTATGTTATCATCAGAAACATAATCAAGGCATTTTACAGGGAGAGGTACCTGACCCTATGTTATCATCAGAAACATACATGAGGCATTTTACAGGGAGACGTACCTGACCCTATGTTATCATCAGAAACATACATGAGGCATTTTACAGGGAGAGGTACCTGACCCTATGTTATCATCAGAAACATAATCAAGGCATTTTACAGGGAGAGGTACCTGACCCTATGTTATCATCAGAAACATACATGAGGCATTTTACAGGGAGAGGTACCTGACCCTATGTTATCATCAAAAATTATTTCACTCAACCTGAGGCCTAAATACTAAAACTTATCAAAGAAGGCCTTGCATGATATGACAGTGACTGCTCCGCATATGAAAGTGACAAAACAATAGTGAAAGTTTGATTTAACAAGCCACAAATAAATTCAAAATATTAAAAAAAAAAAAAAAAGATTGATCAAATTGATTTTACTGTGAGAGAGGAGGTAGTAAAATTGATCTAATTATAAGATAATAAACAACACCAAGCAATATCTACAAATATTGAATTCTGCTATAGTGCAGTATTTCTAAAATTCAACAGTTTCACAAAATTGGAAATAGCATAATCAGGTTGACCTAAAGATATTGATTGTTGATCTATATAACATATTATTTCACACACATAAAAAACAGGCATAAAAACTGTCATCTAATTCAGATTTACTAAAACTGAAATGAAAACATTTACAGAACATCTGTTAAAATTCACCCGAACGCTATTTGGAACTCTTCATTAAGAAGATAAAAATGTGTGGCCAAATTCAGAACCCTCCTAACAGGCTTATAATTAATGTAAATTATATCAATGTGAGTTTTTATTGGCTATAGATGCCTGTAAAGCAGCTTTCATGAATAATTAGTTTAATGAAGCCATACATAAGTGTAAAGAGTACAAAAGAGTTTAATTATCAAATACATTTTTGTAAGTTTTATGTCTTTAAGGAAATTATTGATCAAGATTGATTTAAAAAAAATAATTAAATAATCTCTAAATCACTGTTTTATTTTTTGTAAATTGCCCCATCAACTGCCTGGGTCTTCTTCAGATGGGGTCTCCATGCAGCAGCTATTTGTTACCTCACTGAACAACATACTGGAGGTCCATCACAGGAAATTCAAAGAAACAACAGTCAAGTGTCTTATACTACCATTACAGTAAAGGATAGTTTATTTCTCAACTTCCTCAGAAACACAAACTGCCAGGAGTATAGAATCATTGAAAATGGACCATTGGGCATTCAAATGAGGTAGCAAGATCTACCATTCTACCAACTAATTGACTGTAAACATAATAATTTTAGAAAAAATGATTGGTCAAAATCAAATTGCACCCATAAGTACATTTACAATACATCAGGTAAAGATTTATCTTCATCTGTTTATGGTAGTTCTTGATTGAAGTTGTAGAGATGGCCTTCCTGTCTAAATGAATTAAGGACACTTCAAAATCAGTTGGTAAACCAAAATATTACCCCTGACCATTTTAATGTTAATGTAGTAATTTATGGGTGTCATGCATGTGATGAAATAAATACCTTCTTATTGTAATGTATTTCAGAACATAAAATTGACACTAAAAGATTTGACTAAAAGTAACTGTATGTATTCCAGTGGGGAATTGGAGACACTATGGTATACCTATCTGTTATGTATTGTCTGTGCGTGTTAAATAATTCACTTGCATTGCCATCCAGATGTTGCTGGGAGAAGGCTTAAATAGTCAATGCCTGATGCCCTTTCCCTTTGCCCTTTTTGAACAATAAAATTTGTTGAAATTGAAAACTGATTCATATATTTTAATCAATGTAACATCAATTCTTTGTTTATCTGCCATTTTGTAAGAATTTAAAACTTACATTCAAAGATCCATTTAAAGATGGTTCTGATTGGGAAACACCTTGATAACAATTGGGGAACACATAAGTTTTGTCAGCTGGCACATAATCAATTAAATTAATCCAATGAAACAAGCTTTATATAGATTTGGTTAAATAATATTTTTAGCATATTTTGTCTCCGTAGCATCGAGGGCAATGATAGGTCAATCAGAAGAGCATTAGCCAATGTAACCGCAGATGAAGTAATGAGGTGCTGGGTTCGACACTCCCTACCTATCAGTTTTTTGTCTCTCAGGAAGCTGAAAATGGACCACTGTGTACTAACTTGGTTATGTCTATCAGCACTTTACCCTAACTGATACTGTTAATTGACCTCTCGAATGTTGTTCAGTGAGAGAACAACCAGGTATTTTGACGGGACCCTACCTGAAAATGAGGTGATAAACCCAGCAGAAAAAAAAACCTTATTCAATTAAGTCTTCATAAAATAAACATTGTAAAAAATATCCTGGGTTCACACAGCACACACAAGTATATATATACTATAGGATTGTATGTTACAAAAAGCCTAAATATCAATACTTATCATACCAGCTTGTACATCTTCCATGATTTTCTTTCCATGAAAGTTACAGACATGTCAAGGAAGTCCATGGACACGGTTTGTGAAGTTCATGACTTTTCTATAGACCTTGTCCATGGAACTTATTCGTCAATGTATTTACAGGGAAAATACCCATTTTTCTTTGGAAAAAGATGGTTTTCCATGGAAAATGTACAGCTTGAATAGCGCAATATTTGACATCAAAGGAAATAATTAAATAAAGAAATCCACACTAAATGACCTTGATCTTTGAAAGCAAATGACCTTGACTGATTGACCTTGAGTGACCTTGAGGTACTTACGTTTCCTCTGTTGAAGCGTTTTCCACTGTTATATCTTGGTAATATGACTCACTGTCTCCATTCATTACAGATTTCATCTCGCTGAAAAATAGGATAGTGAATTCCTTGATAACAAGAAACATAGCTGAATATTGAAACAAATGCACAAATCACATCATTGTAAATGACCATGACTCGGAAGTATCACTGCAGCTTAACAAGTCAAACAAACCTTCACTTTTAAAGAAGTACAAACAGAATTTGGACCTTAACCTAAATGTATTTGTACAGAGGATTAACAAACTTTCCCTGGTTTATTGTCTGCCAGATCATGGCTATATAAAGGTCAATAGGAGAAAAACATGAAGTTAAGGATTATAACAAGCTGCTTCCTTATCTAAATCTGTGAATAGATTCATCTTTATTTTTCAAAAAGTGCAGCTTTCAGCATATTTGTTAATGATCCATTTCACTTTTTGTAAAATGCATATAGTTTTAGTAATCTCTGTTTTATCACACATTAAGACACCGTTAATTACCTTTTGCGGGCTAAGTGATCTGGAACAGGAGGAGGAGGGTGTACATCTGCAGTAACCACGGTGACCGGTACTTCTTCTTCTGACGCAGGATAGTCTGGCATTGGCACGAAATTGTTGAGCTAAAAACAAAGACCTTAACTCCATCATAAGCTCTTACATAACTAGTCAATTATCCTATAAAGTTTTGCTTTGGTTTTTATGTCTTTACAACAGCCAGGGTAAAAGGTATGGTATACCATGCATGTAGTTTCTGCATAAATTACTATGATGTAGAGTATTTTTATCTTCAAAAAATTAATTTCTATCTGAAAAAAATAATTCAATGTACACTCTAAAAGCATTATTATTGTCACTTGTGTTAGAGTTATCTCCCTTTTCAACATTTTAATCATAATTTTATGATTAAACATTTCCCAAATGTTGTTAAACTATGAATTCTTTTTAACAGTTTTTTAACATTTTCCATCAATACATTCATGCAAGTAAAACATATTTCAGAGGTTTTTTCAGTAAGATGGGACATGTCAGAATAATATAAGATACACCTTTAAGTCATTTCAGAGTAGGGTAGAATACACCCTTAAGTCTTCATGACAGAGTATGTTAGTATACACTCTTAAGTCAAAACCTAAGATGAGTTATTTTAGCTATTAACCCCAAGACACTAACCTTTTGCCTTTAACCCCTAGCCATTAACCCCAAGACACTAACCTTTTGCCTTTAACCCCATAACCATTAACCCCAAGACACTTACCTCTTGCCTTAACCCCTTGCCATTAACCTCTAGCCTTTAACCCTAGCCATTAACCTCTTGCCTTTAACCCCTAGCCATTAACCTCTTGCCTTAAAACCCTAGCCTTTAACCCCTAGCCATTAACCCGAAGCAATTAACTCCTAGTCATTAACACCTAGCCATTAACCCTAGCCATTAACATTTTGCCTTTAACCCCTAGCAATTAACCTCTTGTCTTTAACCCCTAGCCATTAACCTCTTACCTTTATACAATAGCCTTTAACCCCTAGCCATTAACCTCTTGCCTTTAACCCCTAGCTATTAACAACTCGCCCCGTAATATCTTTACCTCATCATAGTATTTAGTTTCTTTCGGTGGCATCACAGATTTCAATTCATTCATTTTCAACATGTGGTCTAATCTCTCCTCACTGACATCAGGTTTCTTCTCAGTCGGTAAAACTGCTGGCTTCGATTTAACAACCTTTGCATAGATATCGTCTACATCCTTCGTCACCTGAACCGCAATGGGTGGAACAGTCAATGATTTGGCAGTGGTAGGGGGAGAAGGAGCCACAGACTTTTTGCGTTTTAAAGGAACTTCCACTTTAGACTCCATTTTGCGAGGTTTTATGTTTTTCATCATATTCTGCAACATATCCTTATTGTACATTTCCACCTGGAAACACCAAATTTGAACCATTAACATATACCAAAGTTTTATGGTACATAAACTACGTTACCTGTTGTGTGAAGAAGTGTGGATTATACCAAAGTTTTATGGTACATAAACTACGTTACCTGTTGTGTGAAGAAGTGTGGATTATACCAAAGTTTTATGGTACATGAACTACGTTACCTGTTGTGTGAAGAAGTGTGGATTATACCAAAGTTTTATGGTACATGAACTACGTTACCTGTTGTGTGAAGAAGTGTGGATTATACCAAAGTTTTATGGTACATACACTGTGTTACCTGTTGTGTGAAGAAGTGTGGATAATACCAAAGTTTTATGGTACATGAACTACGTTACCTGTTGTGTGAAGAAGTGTGGATTATACCAAAGTTTTATGGTACATACACTGTGTTACCTGTTGTGTGAAGAAGTGTGGATTATACCAAAGTTTTATGGTACATAAACTACGTTACCTGTTGTGTGAAGAAGTGTGGATTATACCAAAGTTTTATGGTACATAAACTACGTTACCTGTTGTGTGAAGAAGTGTGGATTATACCAAAGTTTTATGGTACATACACTGTGTTACCTGTTGTGTGAAGAAGTGTGGATTATACCAAAGTTTTATGGTACATACACTGTGTTACCTGTTGTGTGAAGAAGTGTGGATTATACCAAAGTTTTATGGTACATAAACTACGTTACCTGTTGTGTGAAGAAGTGTGGATTATACCAAAGTTTTATGGTACATAAACTACGTTACCTGTTGTGTGAAGAAGTGTGGATTATACCAAAGTTTTATGGTACATAAACTACGTTACCTGTTGTGTGAAGAAGTGTGTGAAGAACCTGTTGTGTGAAGTGTGGATTATACCAAAGTTTTATGGTACATACACTGTGTTACCTGTTGTGTGAAGAAGTGTGGATTATACCAAAGTTTTATGGTACATAAACTACGTTACCTGTTGTGTGAAGAAGTGTGGATTATACCAAAGTTTTATGGTACATACACTGTGTTACCTGTTGTGTGAAGAAGTGTGGATTATACCAAAGTTTTATGGTACATAAACTACGTTACCTGTTGTGTGAAGAAGTGTGGATTATACCAAAGTTTTATGGTACATAAACTACGTTACCTGTTGTGTGAAGAAGTGTGGATTATACCAAAGTTTTATGGTACATACACTGTGTTACCTGTTGTGTGAAGAAGTGTGGATTATACCAAAGTTTTATGGTACATACACTGTGTTACCTGTTGTGTGAAGAAGTGTGGATTATACCAAAGTTTTATGGTACATAAACTACGTTACCTGTTGTGTGAAGAAGTGTGGATTATACCAAAGTTTTATGGTACATACACTGTGTTACCTGTTGTGTGAAGAAGTGTGGATTATACCAAAGTTTTATGGTACATAAACTATGTTACCTGTTGTGTGAAGAAGTGTGGATTATACCAAAGTTTTATGGTACATACACTGTGTTACCTGTTGTGTGAAGAAGTGTGGATTATACCAAAGTTTTATGGTACATGAACTATGTTACCTGTTGTGTGAAGAAGAGGACCTGTGTATCTCGCTGTGACTTGTACAACTGTAGCTGTTGGTAGAGTGTCCGACATCGCCATCGTCGATAATATTTCTGAATCACAGTGGCAGAATGTTCTGAGAGTTGTATTTGTTTCTTTCGTAACTGTCGTGCACTGATGCGGGCCCGATAGGAACGGAATGCTGCAACGGAAAAATAAAACATATTTTAGACTTCTAAGTTTGAAGTTTTTAGCTTGAAAAAATAAAATTGTCACATGGTAGATTGTCAGCATTGTGCCCTGTTTATCTGAAATAGAAGAAATAAGTGACATTGTTATTTGTTTAATTATCAACACAACACAGAATGATCTTTTGATACGAAACACTTCAGTTGAGTATAGAAACATTAGAAATGTTTATTACCTTATACTGCATTACTCAAACCATAGAAAAACAAATCCAAGCAAAAACAAAAAACAAAATAATAATGAAAATAAAGAATAACAAATATTTGCAGGCATCAACCTGGAAAGAATTTTATAAAATTGATTGCAAAACTACAGCAATGCTAATTCATTGCCCTTATTTGTTCAGCGATAAGACCACTTACATTGTACTCAGCCCATTCATTTACACATCATTGTTTACAAAAAACACAATTCTACATCATTGTCTTGACATAATCTCATTTAATGACATCAGTAATTAACATGTTGACCCTCTGGGCTTATTGCGTTGTAAGAATTGTACCCCTGACTCAGTAAGAAGAAATGTGTAGACCCAGACTGGGCTTATTGTGCTGTAAGAATCATACCCCTCACTTTGAATAAAACAGGTTTGTTGCCTTGACTTATTTCTGAATAAATACAATAATTTCACTCTATGGTTTCAGAAAACATTTCTTTGTTTAAATCTATGGAAGAGAACAATCTATGAAATTAATCTGTCACTATATCATTTTACTTTTTCAACACATGAAGAAAAAGTAAAACCAGTTTCTATGAATGTTTGTGGCCTATCAACATACCAGGGTGTGGTGGTTGTAGCTTTAGTATTCGGCAGTCTGAAAGTCCAAAACACATAGCATCCTATTGATTTTAAAGTCTTTTCCTTTTCTTTTGATAATTTCTCTTCGGAACAAAACTTTCATACAGAATTATATTTTCTCTCTTCCAATTAATTATTTGTGAATAAGCCATTTTTGAAAAACAAATCTATTTCCATCTAACTACTTTCACTTGAATTAAGTTACAAGAACCAGTAGAATATTGTTTTCTGCATTACAAAAAGATCTGAGCTTGGTTTTTTTTTGCAATTCCAACTTATGCATGCCTTAACACTTTTTTAGAAATCTGAAATTTTGAACATTCATTGATAACATGCATGCTTGATATAAATATATATTACATCTTCCACAGCAGTAAGCCATACAGCACTCACAATGGAACCAGCTTTGTAAAATGCACTATACATACATTGTTGGTGATTCATTTAAATTGTATATCCCACAATGCAACATATCTGTCATAAAATGAAACGATCTTGAACCAAAGCATTGTACATACAATACAATATATATTCTCCAACACAACACAATATTGTATGCAATGTTCCCAACACCATGAATACAATTAAATACTCTCTTAACAAATTTCACTGTAATATTTCAAACAATGCAATGAATCTGGAGCAGAATCAATATAATCACACTATCAAATAAGTCAAATACGAAATATTTTGCCTTGACAACGTTGTCTTAATTCATACATATCAATAATGATCTCACATTGAAGTACTTCCAAATAATTTCATTCTTTTTTGTACTAAAATACATTATTATCTATTTTTCAAATTTCCCAATACAAAACAGTAGGTTGCCACTGTAAAAAAAATTTCAAAGTTTGAATATTCATATGATGGTATCACATGACTACAGTACATATGTATATATATATGTCACATGATAGTCACATGACAATATTTCATTTAATTTGTTTCAATCAAAACGAATATTTCCTGTTACATCAAAATGAATATCTTTCAGTAGGGTGTATTATAAAACAATATCCAAGAGTGTTTCTTATTTTCAATCAAGGATTTTCACGTATATGTTGACAAAACTTTGTCTGAAACAGAAAAATTCCTTTCCCTATGTGGTTAACTAAAAGTAAGTGAAGTCAACTTATTTCACAGAATAGGGGTTAGGGATTTGGTAACTATTTCTTATTTTACACAATGCCTCAATAGGTTTCACTGTGTGACAGTACTTGGCCGTCACTTATTTTACACAATGCCTCAATAGGTTTCACTGTGTGACAGTACTTGGCCGTCACTTATTTTACACAATGCCTCAATAGGTTTCACTGTGTGTGTGTTTCTTATTTTACACAATGCCTCAATAGGTTTCACTGTGTGACAGTACTTGGCCGTCACTTATTTTACACAATGCCTCAATAGGTTTCACTGTGTGACAGTACTTGGCTGTCACTTATTTTACACAATGCCTCAATAGGTTTCACTGTGTGACAGTACTTGACTGTTTCTTATTTTACACAATGCTTCAATAGGTTTCACTGTGTGACAGTACTTGGCCGTCACTTATTTTACACAATGCCTCAATAGGTTTCACTGTGTGACAGTACTTGGCCGTCTCTTATTTTACACAATGCCTCAATAGGTTTCACTGTGTGACAGTACTTGGCCGTCTCTTATTTTACACAATGCCTCAATAGGTTTCACTGTGTGACAGTACTTGGCCGTCACTTATTTTACACAATGCCTCAATAGGTTTCACTGTGTGACAGTACTTGACTGTTTCTTATTTTACACAATGCCTCAATAGGTTTCACTGTGTGACCATTGGTTTCAATATCATACACATCAATCTTCTATACAGTTAACCTACAAGTATTTGACCCAAGATGCTAAAAGTGGATAGCCATTTTGTACGATGCTGCAACAAGTTATAAACAGTCTGCAAATTACAGTTAAACGTACAACACCATGCAATGTATTCATGCAGTGTATTCTGCTATACAGTGCTATATACCTGTCACCACACCCTCATCACTGTCCTCTTCATATTCTGGAACAGTTGTTTCACTTAAAAATTGTCCGATCAGAAAACCACGAAAAGAACTCTGAATGGTTAGAACTGACTTCCAATGCTTTTTAAGCATCTCACATTAATCATGAACCTATTTACTAAGTAAGATATTTTTCAAAGCTACAAGGACAATGTTTACAGTGTACTTAAAGATAGAACCTTGCTGTAAATTTACAGATGTATAAGTCTGAAGCTTTAAAAAAAAAAAACCCATTAAACTTCAATAAGATGTTTCTAACTTCTCTAAGAAGTACAAATCAAGACAGACCCCTGTTTATCTGTGTTATGCGACAGATCCCTGTGGATGTGACATAAGACAGATTTGTGAACCTGTGTTACAAGACACACCCCTGTGGATGCGATATGAGACCTGTGTTATGCGACAGACCCCTGTGGATGTGGTATGAGACAGACTTGTGAACCTGTGTTACACGACAGACTCCTGTGGATGTGATATGAGACAGATTTGTGAACCTGTGTTACAAGACACACCCCTGTGGATGTGGTATGAGACAGATTTGTGAACCTGTGTTACAAGACACACCCCTGTGGATGCGATATGAGACAGATTTGTGAACCTGTGTTACAAGACACACCCCTGTGGATGTGGTATGAGACAGATTTGTGAACCTGTGTTACAAGACACACCCCTGTGGATGTGGTATGAGACAGATTTGTGAACCTGTGTTACAAGACACACCCCTGTGGATGTGGTATGAGACAGATTTGTGAACCTGTGTTACAAGACACACCCCTGTGGATGTGGTATGAGACAGATTTGTGAACCTGTGTTACAAGACACACCCCTGTGGATGTGGTATGAGACAGATTTGTGAACCTGTGTTACAAGACACACCCCTGTGGATGCGATATGAGACAGATTTGTGAACCTGTGTTACAAGACACACCCCTGTGGATGTGGTATGAGACAGATTTGTGAACCTGTGTTACAAGACACACCCCTGTGGATGCGATATGAGACCTGTGTTACGCGACAGACCCCTGTGGAAGTGGTATGAGACAGACTTGTGAACCTGTGTTACACGACAGACTCCTGTGGATGTGATATGAGACAGACTTGTGAACCTGTGTTACGCGACAGACCCCTGTGGATGTGGTATGAGACAGACTTGTGAACCTGTGTTACAAGACACACCCCCTATGGATGTTATATGAGACCTGTGTTACACGACAGACCCCTGTGGATGTGGTATGAGACAGACTTGTGAACCTGTGTTACAAGACACACCCCTGTGGATGTGGTATGAGACAGACTTGTGAACCTGTGTTACAAGACAGACCACTGTGTAGATCTGTTTTGTGGTTGGATAATGACAGCAAACATGTCTGTCTGTTTGTCCATCTTGACTCCAGTTAGAATAAAAAATTCTGGTAATTGTGACCAATACAAATAATAGAAATACTACCTGTATCAAAAAATTATTATCGAGAAAAAAACCTCGAAAAATCTTAAACATACATTTTAAAAGAATTTTAAATATCTGTTTTGAGCTGAAGCAGTTGTATCAACAACACAGACATTTTTTATGATTCAAACAATTAACTATTTTATCTAGACAGAAAATTAAGCATGTAGGACATCACTAATCAACCAGGAATCTATATATTGTTATAATACCATTGTATCACCAATACAAAAAAAAAATCTGACGGTCAAAGGTCAAAGGTCAGATAGAAAGTTTGAACTACTGTCGGTATCTTTAGTATACAAGTTTTAAATGTTAGTCTCACAATGTCTCGTGTAGTTTTATTGCCCACATATTACTGGATCAGTGATCAACACAACCCTGAGATATCAAAATAATGTTAGCCCTTACCATCAGGACTTGTATCAGATTCCTGTTTAATTCCGTCTTTTGTTTGCAGGGCGGACATTCGTTGTCGATAGTCCCGCCAGGCAGTCTGTATAATGACCACTGACTTCCATCTTTTTTCCATTTGTTGATGAATATCAAACATTTGTTTGGCCAAGATGTAACCTCTCATGGCTACAATAAAATCCACAAAAATATCCGAACCAAAACAGAGAGATGATCATGTGTAATAGAGGATTGAAATGGCCGAGTTTTCTATC